CCGCGCAAGATACATCCCATGCACACAATGGGCGAGACTGGGACTTCCAAACCGAGCTATCCCCAAGGACTAATCCCCAAAGCTTTTACACTAGGGGGCATTCTCTGGCGGTGTATTCCATATCGTACCCTTAAAACACTTATGCAAATGATGCATGTCAATCAAGACTCTATGCATTCTCATATCACATTATCATTTCCCATGGTCATTTCACATCATCACATTTCGTCATCATATTTCATTATCACATTTCATATCTCATATCTCAATCACATTTCATATCTCATATCTCAATCACATTTCACATTATCTCATCATATTCACAAAGTCTCCACAAAACACTTTAATTTATATCAAAACTCGTTTATTTATAAAATTAAATACATATTTTTACATATCATCAAACAAGGAATATAACAGAACAATTAGAAATCAAAATAGAAAATATTCATATTTTGCCTATTTCTCATAGGGTTTCCCGCAGGAACCCATAAAGCACTCTAAATCATATCAAAACATATTTATTTTCAAAATTAATCACATACTTACACATTACATTTAACAAGGAATACAATAGAGCAATCAGAAATCAAAACAGAAAATATTCATATTTTGCCTATTTCTCATAGGGTTTCTCATAGGAACCCATAGAGATATCAAATCATACAATTAATTGCATATAAGAAAAATAATAAGCAAAACAGATACAATTGGGAGAAACCCCTCATACATGAGTATACAAAAATACAGCAATTCACAGGATTGGGGGCCAATCCCATTACCCAACATATATTCCCACACCCAGAGCAAGATTTCTCACTCCCCCCTTACCTCGATAAGCAGGAGCTAAATCTTGTTGGTCGCCCCCTCTAGGTTCCCCTTCGTCTTCGACCTAGGCAGAAACCCTAGTCCATCCCTTGGCCGGAACAACACTAAAGACAAAAAAAGACAAAATTTTTCAAATTCAATTAATTCAGAAAATATTTTGTACTATTAGAACTATATCTAAAAAAAAATCCCAAATTTAGCAGCCATGTGTTTGATGGCCTACAATTCTGCTTATGGCATCTTTTCTTGGGCTAAGCTGGAGATGCATAATCCGCCTCTTGATACTTGATAGGGTATGTTAGTGGGGCCATGACATGATGACAGAGACAGAAAGACCGCTAGACCTTTCTATCCTATTAAACTCTTCTCTGCTCAATGCTTTGCCGACTCCAACTGTTTTTACTTATCATATGCTTATCTATTTAATTAAAACGTGTTTATTTGTAGTGTCTCCAATTGTTTACCCTAACATTTTATTTAATTTCTATTCTTTTAATTTTACATTAAATTTTATATTAATATAATTTCTTATGTTGCTCTTTTAAATCTTAAATAACCCTTGCACTGCAAGAGACATTCACAATATTTATTATCCTGGTGGACATTTTATAATCAAAATAAAATTAACAAATGCCCATACCAGTGGAAAGCCATGGATTACTTTGCCTTGTGTAACGATCACATGCAGAGAATTTTTTACTGAAATAAAAAAAATTTTAAATTTTTTTACCAAAACAGCCCCTATTTCAATTTATTTACAGAAATAGCACATTTTACTGTTCACACTCAAAATTTGGTTCCTGGGAAACCGAATTCTGAACTTTAATTTTTTTTTTTGTTTTCTTTTTTTGCTCAGAATTCGGTTCCCGGATAACCGAATTCTGAGTAGTATTTAAATTTTTTTTTCCTTTTCTGTTTGTAGTTCAGGTTGTGTGTTAATATTGCAACTGGAATGGCTCGTTCTCCAAGCAGAACGAGTCGTTCTGCTTGCACGCGTAGTCTGATAATTTTGAAACTGAAACGTCCAAGCAAAACGGCCCGTTTTGATCCATTCTTCATGTGTGTATTTTTGCATCTGGAACGGCCCGTTTTGAAAGGAGAACAGGCCGTTTTGCAAGAACGGGCCATTCTAGATCCATTTTTACACCATGCTCAGATCTAAAACGCAAAAGAAAATATATTAAAAAAAAATTTAACAGCTCAGAATTCGGTTCCCTAAAAATCGAATTCTGAACGTGAGCAGTGAAAGGTGTTACTTGGGTAAATAAATTGGTACAGGTGCTTTTTTGGTAAAAAATTTTTAAAAAAATTCTATTTTAGTGAAAAATTCCACATGTAGAACCATTTGATCTGCTGTGAGCAACGCCGTCCAGCCTCACAGGGATCAATTTCTTTGCACACAAAATTGAAGTCCAGTCCTTTAGAATAGCAATTGTTGAATGTAAATGCATAAGGGAGTCATAATACATTCACATAGTCTAGTACCCTCATGAGTTTTTTTATTCATAATAAGCACAATGACAACAACCGAGTTTGAATCTAATTTCCTGGTGGGTTTACTTAAATTAGTTTTGAAATCCTTAAGTTGGACCGTTACTCACAGTAGCAGAGCTGTTAATAAATCTATGGATTGCTACCAAACTACCAATCCTTAGCCAATAGGGCAACCATTAGCTGCGGGCTTGTGGCATAATACTACCATTTTTTTTGTGAGTGTAGTCTTTATGAGAGCCAAACATTGCAATCCGAGGGAAAAAGCAAGTAACAAACATGATCCTTATTTAAAGAGGGGGTGGTATATGCTATAATTGTTAACTCACTATAACAATGTTTCCTATAAATATTGATAAAGCACATAAAGTCTTGCTTCATCATATCTTTAGTCAGGACCAGGTGAACCATGTAATAAATCAAACAATCCAGATTACATATGGTAGCAGTTTTCAATGAATACATAAATCGCACTCGGACATGATTTCCAGCAACTGATTTACTTTACATGCATTTGTCTAGCAAACTTTACAACTCTTAACATGAAGACTACCAGTCCTCTGCACCCTTTGTCACACCAAAAATAATCGCAATTGTAGCCAGAACAGCCTGCAAAAGTAGTCACACAAAGTTAGTGTTACCTTCTCATGCATTATGGAACAATTTGATACAAGTGAACACAACAACTTCAAGCAATCTAATTATGAATTACAAGGCCATCATAAGTTTGACAGTGCTACAAGCAACTAACAAGAAAATGTGGAGATAAAAATAAAAGAGAGTTGGTGCAATAAACCTATTAACACCACGCAATTCCCCTCAGGAACATATGATAAAATTCAAACAAGTAGTGGTACAACTAAAAGAATATAATAACTTAAGAACTGAAATAGGCTTTTATAGAAAAGACGAAAGGATGGAATCACTTACAGCAACTATACAAGCAACATATCCAGGTTTCTCCCGATAGTCTACTCTGGAACAAAGCATAATTATTGCTCCGACATACCATGGAATACCAGCAAGAAAGAAGCCTAATATAAACCTTCACAACAACATAAAAAAATTGGAAATCAACAAGCCAATATTAACTTTGGTAGTAAGTGTCTGATATCAACACATGGAAAAAGAAAGGAAAATAACATGTATGAGAATTATTAACACTGGATAATATAAAAGGAAACAACCCAAATGGTTCCAGCATTTTTATAAGGTGAATGGAAGCATGTATGAACCATCACCAGGTTCAAGTTCCTCGGCACTATAAAGGAAAAAAAATCTAACCAAGGAAGTATCAATACTTTCTATGAATGAGATGTTATTAACCTGGGTGAACTGACATAATCTCCAACGAAAATTAAAGAAAGGCATGGCAGACCATGTCAACAGCCTACTTGTTTCACATTGTAATAAGTATGTATGTCAACTTTGATGTACAATGATAATAATAAATGGCAAAATGTTGGCCATACCGTAAAATATCAAGGGAAAAAATTATGAGTCCAACCTGATAATACACAGGTGAAAATCATAATAATGGCTTCAATCATTTTCCTTGGAATGGCAAGGGGGGAAGAGGTGGGAAGGGGAGTATCAATAATAAAGAAAAGGTGTAGACACCAATACACACAAACTGCTGGAAATTCAAAGCAGCTTGTCCAGAAGGTGACCATTTTCAAAAAAAATGTCAAATGAGTTGATATTCGAGAAGGTTCTCATGAAATGGCAAATCCTTTGCCAATCCCCTCTTCTCTCCCTCTCAAGCTGTAATAAATTTCATAGCCCAGCCTTTTTAAATGCAAGCATAAAAAGAAAGCTATGATATTCCACTCCCAGTAAGCAAATTTACTATCAAAATATTATATTGCCTACTTTCTCTGCTAAATATTACATTAAGTGGACTCACCAGCACAGCTCAAAATAAGAATGCATCTACGATTTCAATATTTTATAGGAGCATATACCCTCATTCAATAAAATCATAAATAAAAGAAGTTAACAACACTAAAAATCAAAGAGTATTTTCCTCATGCACAATAGTCAAATTCGACATTTAAGTTTTCAGCAAAATATAAAATCAACTTTGCCAGTGAAAATGTTAATGGTGATTAGTGATAGAAAATTAAGATAACTTGAAGCAATTATCAAAAAAAACTGAGGTCAACACAAATCAAAGAAAGATTATTAATGACATACGCTACCACAAATAGAAAAGAGAGACTTCTCAAGTTACATAGATTTAGCAATCTTCACCAACAGAACAGGTTAGGAATTATAGCTTGGCTTTGGATTGTATGTTACATAAATATAGCTTTTTGAACACACACAAACAGACAAGTCAAGCTCCTCAAATATAGTTATCTACAAGTCATTGCTGACAAGTAATATGCCACCATGCAGGAAATTTACTTACAGACACCAGCCGCAACCAATGCCACAGCAACCAAGGCGGGGTTCTCTTACAGGTCTTCCTTCAGCAACAGCATAACCTAAATCAGTTAAAACAGGAAACCATATCAAAATCTAGCAGGTTGGAAAATGAAGTCTGTGGCACCACAAAGAGATGTCAATATCATCATCAAACTCGCATCCATTGGATTCTTATATATTAAAAAGAAAACAATTGCTCATAATAGTCTCCTAAATAACCAGCTTTGCTTCCACCAAATTAGTGTTGCATGATTTCTTATTAATTTATTCATTTATTTTAATGCAACAACACATATTGCACACACCACCGTGACTAACGACCAAAACAGCGTATAGAAATCTCAATGAGAAGTGTAAAATTATCAAAGAGAGTAGATCTAGTCCTAGCAGTCTATCAACCTGCCAAATCATTCTATAACTTTACTTAACCCAGCCACTCTGATCATAGGCAAACCATTTACTCATAGATAATTAAAACTTAAAAAACATGATGGAAAGGGATAAGGATAAGAAATAATCACAGACAAACCATGATTAAGCCAAAACACTGAATCACCATCTCCAGCCACAAAATTTTCATCGGATTCTACAACTTCAAACTGCCAACACCATTTTCCAAAATCACTCCCATCACCACAGTCAGACCCATTCTCAACCTCCAACAATCAAACAGATTGAGAAAAGAAAAACAAACCAAATACTCACACAAAAATCAAGTCAACCCAAGAACAGAAATTCTTTCCCCAAACCCCAAAATTCCACACAGAGAAACACTTGACCTATCACTCTTTCGCAGTACAAACAGCCAAACCCGTCATGAAAAGTTCCAAACTTCGATCCAACCCATCACACAAAATCACAAATCATCACTCAACACATCATTCCAAAATTAAATTTTGCCCTCTTCATTTCCAATCAAAAACCAAACCCAAAAACTAAAATTAAAAATTAATAAAAAAAATTAACTTTTTAAATAAAATAAAAAAGTCAGAAGGGCAGGGTGATACCGGGAACTGCTTGGTACCCGGAGTAATAGGGCGGAGGAGGGGCGGAGGAGTCGCCGACGCCGGGCGGCGGAACGGGCTGAGGAAAGCCGATGGCGGGGTGCTGCTGCGGCGGCGGCGGAGGGTAGTTGGAGACGCCTTGGAAGGTGCCGTACTGGGCGGCTGGATAGGGTTGCGGCGGCGGCGGAGGGTGGTGGTGGTGGTGGTCGGCGGAGAAGGCTTTAGGTTTGTCTTCGTCAGTCATATTTGTTGAAAGAGTTATTGACTAGTTGTGAAGGTTGGATGGATAGTGGCAGAGAAATGGTTCAATTGTTTGTATTTGTGGGAATGATTGTGATTTATTTATTGTGTTTTGGACCCACACCACACCACAATCACACAAACTTATTTGTGTAGCAAGAGTTTAAGGGAAAGTCTGCATTTTTAAGTGTTTCTGAAAAGTAGAATTTCCCATTTTCAAAGGTTGATAGTAACTTTTTCAATCTTTTTAACTAGGTCATTAATAAAAATTAAAAAAAAAAAAAATAGGTAATTGAGGTTAATAGTATGAATACAAATAGTTAACTTTCACAAAATTTTTTATATTTATCTTTTACCCAGAGATCTAATTATAAAAATTAACAACTCAATTTCGAATTTTATAGTTTAAGGATGTATTTAAAAAAAATAATTAAGATTCTATGTATGTGTTTTCTTAAGTAAAACTTAGTATAATAAGTTATGTTGTGTAATTTGTCCACCTTAAAATTTTCATTTTATTTTAAAAGTTTAAAGAATCATTCAATTTTACACAATACTTATGTTGGTTGATGTAAATGTTAATAATTTGTATTTTTTTATTAATTGTCTAAAATTTGGATCTTAATCTTAAATATAAAATAAATTTTGTTAGAAGTAAAATATTCACATTATGTACATTTACAGTCTTCAAAGAAGATTAATCACTATTCTTTAGTGTGGATAATTCATAATAGTATTATAGTTACAAAAAAAAAACATGATTACTATACAATAATGCACATATATAACAAATTATAAAGAAAAGATTAACTCAAAATTAAAGACGAAAATACTTTTTTAATAGACTTGTCAAAATGGATTACTCGACGCAATCAGTAGTAGACTTTTCAAAATTTTGGACCAAATATTTGATTCTTCATTTTCTTCCTCTTAAAATGATGACAGGTCTAGATCCTCTAATATTGTCATTGCAAAGCAAGGATTATAAAACAACTTTGTAAAGCAAAAAATGAATTTGTATATTATTAGTACAATAATTTGTTTAATAGACGAATATGAGTGAGTTCTTAATAGAGGGATCTAAGCTTATTTTGCTTAACAATGTACCTACACAATGTCAACCCTTACTCATTCTTCACATCTTATATTTATAGTGTCTTTGTTAATGTATTGTTGAAGGAAATAGACACTTATAATCTTTTCGTTGATCTTCATTAAAGTCATGAAAGACTCTTCATATTATCTTTGTGGAGTCTTCATTCTGACTTTAGGAAAAGAGAGTTGTTTGATTGTTAATTCGTTATTAAAATGTTGATTTTGTTCTTTGAAGCTTGATTTTTTATTTACATTTTTTTTTTCATTTACCTTGATAATTGTGCTTATTTTTTATCAGATGATGTATTTATCAATTAGAAAACGCGTTTCTCATATAATGCTAACATATTCACAATGTTTGATAATACCAAGGACAATTTTCTAACTTTTTCAAGTGACCTTTGAAATCAATGTAAAAGTTGGATGTTTATGATTATATTTTTTTTGTTCCAAAGCTAGTATTGTGTATAAAATATTAGATGTTTGATATATCCTTTTTCATACAAGAGTTTATAGGTGTTGGACCCATTTCCAATTAAAACTCTTGGACATATAAAAAATATTTTGAATGTTATTTGTAAAAACTTAATTTCACGTTTTTGTTAAGGATAGAACATTTGTACCTAACTTTCCTTATTGGACAATGAATATAATGTACATTTTAAATAAATTTGTTAAATTATTAAAATATAAATTTTTGTTATCATCAAAATTCAAAATTAAGTGCATGTTTTGTTTCCCATTCAAAATCTACAAATTTATGTTAAACGAAAGAGATAAAAATTCTTACTTTTTAATTTGGTATATTGGAATATATAAATTTTTGTTTGCATCAATGTAAATAGATACCCAAACACAGCTCAACTCATTTAAAGAGTTGGATGTTTCAAATACCTTTATTTCATGTATACAGATTAATTTAATAACAAGAACCAAAAATTGAGAAATTACGACATATATAAGAGTTAAATTATATTTTAACCTAAAATAAATAAATTTTTCAAAGTTATGACTTATTAAAAGAAATAGTTAACAACTACATATATCTTAATTCATTTAAAAAGTTAGACATTCCAAATGTCTTTATTTCACGTATAAAGATTAGAGGAGGAATTCGTTTATTCTAAGAGTAAGTCTATCTAGATTTATTATGTTCAATAATTTATGTTTTATATCAAATTTTAACGATCTAACAATTGAATTTAAAATTTTTAATGCATAGATTAAATTTATAAATTTTAAAAAAAATTAAAAATCATTTGATACTTTGTTTCATTAATTCAAACCAATATATAAAATAATTTTATGATTATCCGTCAATTTAAATTAATGAAATGAAGTATCAAATAATTTTCAAATTTTCTAAAAATTTGCATATTTAATCTATACATTAAGAACTTTAAATTCAATAATTAGATCGATAAAATTTGATGTAAAATATAAGTTATTAAACAAAACAAATCTAGATAGACTTACTCTTGGAGTAAACGGATCTCTCCTCTAAAAATTAATTTAATAAGTTTTTTCTTCATATACAAGAATCAAATTGAGAAATTATGACATGTATAAAAGTTAAATTGTATCTTTAACCTAAAATAAATAATTTTTCCAAAGTTTTAACTTATTAAAAGAATTAGTTAACAACAACATATATCTATAATTGATTTTCCACAAAAACAAAAAGCCTTATTGTTCCGGCCAAGGGATGGACTAGGGTTTCTACCTAGGTCAAGCCTCAAAGCCAGAGCATTCAAAAGTGTAATCTGCCTTCTCAACTCTAGGGTTTTGGGTTTTATAGTACGTCGTTCATGGGCCTCTTGGGCCCCGAGGATTGAGGGATTTCCCTAACCGTTCTTATCACGATGGCGCGGGATTAGCGGGAACAAGCGTAATCGGAATCCGACCGACCGGGCCCATACTAAGGGTCGAGCAGGATAAGTGCCGAGCAGCTCCCTTGTAGGCAAGGGAAACCGAGTCTAACGGGTCAAGTCGGGCTATGACCGACTAGGTATGTACTGGATCCCAGTCGGGTTAATGTCGAGAAGGTGGTTTTACTCGCCTTATTTCCGAATGAGAAACCAGGTCGGGCTACGACCTGGACGGTACACTTGCCTTCCAGCCCTGAGCCGATAAGGCGAAAGGGCTTGTGGCCTGGAAACCTAGTCAGGTTTTTGCCGAGTAGAAATCAGATCGGATTTTTACCTGGACGGTACACTTGCCTTCCAGCCCTGAGCCGATAAGGCGAAAGGGCTTGTGGCCTGGAAACCTAGTCGGGTTTTTGCCGAGTAGAAATCAGATCGGATTTTTACCTGGACGGTACACTTGCCTTCCAGCCCTGAGCCGATAAGGCGAAAGGGCTTGTGGCCTGGAAACCTAGTCGGGTTTTTGCCGAGTAGAAATCAGATCGGATTTTTACCTGGACGGTACACTTGCCTTCCAGCCCTGAGCCGATAAGGCGAAAGGGCTTGTGGCCTGGAAACCTAGTCGGTTTTTTGCCGAGTAGAAATCAGATCGAATTTTTACCTAGACGGTACACTTGCCTTCCAGCCTTGAGCCTAGGAGGCGAAAAGGCTAAAGCGACTATACCTCTTGAGAAATTCGGCAATTAGCCGAGCGAATACACTAAGTTCGGATTTTGGGCGAGTCAGATCTAAATATCTTGTAGCTGTAAAAACATCTCCGCCGTAGAGGGTCTGCCGGATTCCAATAGGTTGATTGTGGGCTCAGATTGTTGTACGCGAAAAGTCACGTATGTTGCATATTTAATCTATACATTAAGAACTTTAAATTCAATAATTAGATCGATAAAATTTGATGTAAAATATAAGTTATTAAACAAAACAAATCTAGATAGACTTACTCTTGGAGTAAACGGATCTCTCCTCTAAAAATTAATTTAATAAGTTTTTTCTTCATATACAAGAATCAAATTGAGAAATTATGACATGTATAAAAGTTAAATTGTATCTTTAACCTAAAATAAATAATTTTTCCAAAGTTTTAACTTATTAAAAGAATTAGTTAACAACAACATATATCTATAATTGATTTTCCACAAAAACAAAAAGCCTTATTGTTCCGGCCAAGGGACTTACCCTTGAAGAGACACCCATTTATTGTAGCGCCGTCACTGCAGTAGGCACATTATTACTGTGCCACGTGTCGGGCGTTTCGTGTGACTTTAGTGTGTGGGGCCCTTGGGGTCGCAGAGGCGTGGCGCTTCACGCGCATTGTGCCTTCACGCCTTCCCACTCGCGCCCTTTCAAATCTATAAATACACGCCCTTGGCGGAGGGAAAGTGTTTTTTGCCCCCATTTCCTCTCTTTTCCGTGCTTCGTCTCTGGCGAGTTTTCTCCCTTTTCTGCGCCTTCTCGCGGTGGTTCTTGTGGTGTTTTGTGAGAAAAGGTGGTGTTTGTGGGACCCTAGGTACGCGTACATATTTATTGTGTTTGGTAGTTGCTATTTGTGCATCATTTTAGTTGCTTAGTGTATCTATAGATTATAGTGACACACAAAATATGTTATTAAATCTTATTTAAAATTAATACTAAAATTGTGTGTAACTATATGTCAAATAGATATATACTTACATATATTATACTTATAGTGACACTTTTGTCACTATATGTAACATTTCTTATAGTTTTTTTTGTATTTGAGTTGATAAAAATAGATATGTGGGTCAAAGTCCGAATTGTGAAGGCCCGAGGATATGTATTAGGTTAAACCTAATTCTTACAAAAAGGCCTTCAAAGAATTTAATGGGCTTGGTATATTGATTGGTTCCAAGAGTATGACTAAGGATTACATGAATTTGAGGGCTACATTAAATAGTAACTACATTTGTTTATTGCATGAGATAATAATGTGTGTATTTGGTTTATCATAAAGAGACTTTTACTCATTATAATGAGCAAAATGTAAAAGTAACTATTTTGTCTCATTAGGTTAATTTAACATAAGTTACATTAAATTCAACTCATTCCAAACACACTCTACTTAATTGGAT